CAATTAGAAACATTATGTAAACTGAGCGTGACGCTGTGCTTTGCGTATCGTTTAGATTAGCTTGTGAAAATGTAGTAACGAGTGTCACGATTAATGTGTGTAGGTCGTGTAGATATTCAGAGAAAACATCTATGCAGGCAAATAACTATAATCGAGCAAAATTTAACTCGAATAATAGATAACCGATAAAACCATAGCAATTTATTGGCTTCGTTCGTTCGAACTTTTTATCCGTTCGTTGTGAAACCGTGGCAAACATAATCGCCAGATGAACGCGTAAAATTTAGAGTCTCGAATTAGGTAATTTAGAATCGTAATTTGGAAATATATTTCTTTCGTCTACCTACAAATGTTTAAACAGCAAGATAAGATAATAACTTTCATGGCTTTGAGATTCAGGTTTCGCTAATACAAGTTTACTCATTATTGGAACATGGTTTAATCACGAAGATTCGTACCAACAAATGATTCTCCCCTTAAGAGTGATTTATTCCGTCGATTCTATAATTCTTATTCTTCCGTTCTCCCGAGTAAAGGATTTCCAAATCCACGTTGTACAATATTCTCGCCATCGTTAGTTTTAGCGGAACTAGTAACGCTTTCCACGAAAACGTTCGAGTTATTCAGTGACGTAAGTTGGAAAGACGTCGGTGGATAAGCAAGATCGAGGGTTAACGCGTTTGATCCTCGGTTTTGCCGGTTGTTGCGTAGCGTTTCTTGCCGCGGGAACATAAATTAATAGCATTAACCTTGATCGGGGGAATTGGATTTCGTATCGATAGGTGCATTAACCGGTTAATGGCACAATAAACACCGCGTATACACAAATACAGGAAATTAATATCCGCGCTGGCGGTGTGGCCGTATTCATATCGCGGCTTCTTTAAAATTCATAGCGGACACTATCGCCGCGTGGGTCTGATTATAAATCGTTAACTGGATCATTCGATCGTTCAAGGAAGATCCTACGAACGTCGACGACTCTTCTCGTAGTTCGATTTCCTCCCTGTAACTGTACCTTGTTTACTACGATAATTCGCTGGACGAAACTGGGTTTCGTTTCTTTATTCATTATACAGGGTGTTACGTTTATCAGAAAAGTGTTCTTAAAAAAATGTTGCTTCGTTTAAAGGGGCAAATTATACAGTATAAATAATACAAGGTCAATTTTGTTTAAATAAAGCCATATATTTTTTTGTTAATAATATGATAGCGTTTATCGAGACAAATTCAACGATCTACTGCGTACAACCATCGAAACTAGAACGTTTCAAATGTTATAGTTTCTCCCGCGCCAGGGTTCCTCGAATTTCGAATTTTTCCCGCGCCGTTCGAAAGCTGCGTGCTCGAGGAATAAAGAAAACAGCTCAGTGTCGCGACGATTAGTATTTACCGTAGAAATTGGTCCGGTATTCGTGGTCGTGGTACTTTTCAAAGTCCGTTCTGCCCAACCCTGCTCGTAACTCGACCGTTCTCTCGTAAACATGGCCGTCACGCCGGCTCGGCGTAGTACACGCCGCGCAATTACGTCCTACGGTCGCGTTTAATCGAACACGTGTACCGCGTTACAGCGAATGAATTCGATCTACCGTGTGTGCACGAGCGTGCTCGCATGCTGGAGGACCCGGAACGCTTTTTTTCCCCCGGCGAGTTGGAATGGCGACGGCGGCGGCGCGTTAGGCACGCCGGACGCGCTCGTGCACGTGCAAATCACCGGCCAGGGGAACGATAATGCGAATATAATGACGACGTTGCCACGGGTAAACAGTTTTCCGACTTGGTTCCGATCGTTTTCACGCGTCCTGCACGGAATTCAGCCGCGTTACGATACCGTTCGAATACAGTAGTCCCTCGCTAAGGTTCGCTACCCTTTACCCTCCATATCGTTCGCAAACCCATCCCCAACAGTTCCATGAAACTCTATCGACAGGATAATCTCAATCAATGAATACACAGGTGTAAACAAACTCCCTAGAAAATGTGAAAAAAGAAGTTAAAAAATAAGAATAGACGAGGATGGAATGGAAAAATGAGACACGAAAGAATAGACTGTGTTATGAGGCGTAATGTTATTATCAAAGCAGCCTCTGGTATATTAACGTTGAGCTGCCAAACGAGAATAGAGCAATTTGTAAAAAAATTTGTTATTAAAAAATTAAATTAAAAAATATCAAATTGTTCTGATAAAATTATTTTTAGTTACTACATTTTTGGTGATTAGACGTATCCTCGAAATCCTAACCAGTTTCGAGAAAAAAATTCAAGAAATGGATAAATTTTTCGACAAAATTAAATCATTTCAATTTCTTCTAAAAAATTATTTTTAGTTGCAGGGGTCAATTACAATCATTTTTGGTCAGTAGACATACCCTCGAAATCCTAACCAGTTTCGAGTAAAAAATTCGAGTAGATGAACAAGTTGGGCGACAAAATTAAAAAATTTCAAATCGTTCTAAAAAAATTATTTTTAGCTGCAGGGGTCAATTCCAATCATTTTTGGTCAGTAGACATACCTTCGAAATCTTAACCAGTTTCGAGAAAAAAATTCAAGAAATGGATAAATTTTTCAATAGAATTAATACATTTCAAATTCTTCTAAAAAAATTATTTTTAGTTGCAGGGGTCAATTACAATCATTTTTGGTGAATAGACATATCCTCGAAATCCTATCCATTTTCTAGAAAAAAAATCAGGAAGGTGGTCTTTATCGGCGGAATTAAAAAATTTCAAATCGTTCTAAAAAAATTATTTTCCGTTCCAGGGGTTAATCGCAATCATTTTTGGTGAATGCACATATCCCCGAATTCCTACGCACTTTCGAGAAAAAAATTCTTTGGTAATAATATCCCATTAATCTCTTTGCCCTTCTATCTTCTAAGCATCGATACACTTCCTACATGCCAGCTGCGCAAAGATCGTCGTTTCCCTAGCGATCCTTCGCGAGTATCCATCGCGTCTAACAGTATCCGTGTTTTTCATCCGACGGGTTTCCCCATCCCACCCAGTGGAAAAAGGAAACAGTCGATTTTTCCGCTGCGATCTCGTTCTCTGTTCGCCAGGGTCGACGGTATCTCCCCGTGTACACCTGTTATTACGATACTTAATAGTAATCAATTAACTCGTTTCCCAACCGTTTAATGCAGCGATTAGAATTTGCAATCTGCACGCTCCAGTTCACGACGATGTTGGCGTATCGTAAAAGCCTGGGATTCAAAGTGGACCGTCGCTCGTGGTCGGTCCTTTCCCCCGCCATTGCCGATCGCCTCCGGCTAGAATTCGCGGCCGCGAACTCGTACGCGTTTCTCGCGGTTTCTCATTATTGCCAATAACTCGTTCTCTTTTTTCCTCCCTTTTCGTTTCGTCGAGCGCGATACGAATCGAAATCGCCGTCTAGCAATTATTTAAATGACACCCGGTACGCGTCTGTTTCGTTTCAGACACCTGGTGCACTCGCCCCTTCGCGTTTAGCTCGCTGATTTTGTCAAGCAGATTCGACCCCACGTTATGTTATCCGCGAAACTCGCAACGAGGAATATGGAATTGTTATGCTGTTTTTCTTCGTCGAATTTTATTACTCGTTATTATATAAAATTATGAGATCTGTGGTTCTCTGAATCTATTAGTGTATTTAATAATGGCAATATACCGTCGAGTTCGATCAGTATCTGCATTAGCTTTCGAGACATTTGATTCCTTGAACTCCTTAAAAAATGCCTTTTTTTTAAATTGGTCCTGTTACTATTAGAAACGAGAAAATATGTGTTGTAAATGATCGTTTCGATAAAAATTTCGGTTTGTAAGTAGTATTAATGTAATCGTGCTTGTAATTGCGAGTAATTTATCGATGGTTGGCCCACGTAGGGATCGAGGAAAGACACGGAGCAGGTAATATTACAAATGTACCAGGATCGCGTGCTGACGCAATCCGGCTCGCGGATAACGTGTCCCGGTGCACGCTCCTTGCTCAGGAATCCCGTTCGCGGGCTGAGTAATTACGAGGAAGTAATCACTGACACCGCAATTGCGTTCGCGCGATCCAGGGGAAAGTGCGCGCGAACCACGCGGCCGTTCAAAATTTCGCGCTTTCACCGGCCAGCGAGATGAATCGAACCGCGAGTCGACTATTTTTCGGCTCGTTGTTTCAAAGGGGGAAACAAGAATTTTTTGGGCCCAACTGTGAAACTTTTTCCGATAAACGTTCAATGTATTCGAAAGTACATTTCCTGAACCACTTCTTGTAAAAATTTCGTGTAAAAATATTAATTATTCTAGATGTAATAGGAACCGGTTTGAGAAGCCTTCAAAAGTTTGTTAGAAACTGGCGGACGTGTGATTTTTCACTGCATGTCGCGAGACAAGAAATCATGCAATTTTCTTGAACTATAAGACAGTAGCTAGGGTTGCACGTACGGATTTTTTAAAGTAATTATTTATTATAAAATGGTGGAGAAATCTTAAAAAATCGTGACAGGATCAATAGTTTTTTTAACATCACGTCGAAACTAATTATTCGATCGAAAATTCCGTACACGCAGCTGAAGGGGGTAGTATCAGGAACCACCGTAAAAAATTTTAAGTAAATCGGTTGAAAATTGACTGAGCTATTGAGCCGCCCAGTTTGAAAAATTATTTGAAATTAAATCGTACGCCAAGGGGTTAAATTGTTAATTGGGGAAAAAATTCCCGAAGAACAGGGGTGGATTCGAGGGGGTGGTCGATAAAAATTCTTTCTTTCAGCATGCACTTGTAAATAAATAATTGGTTCAAGATTGAAAGGATCGACGAATAAATTCTGAATAAAGGTCGTTTAATGTGACGATTTAATTTCGAATCGTGAAAATTTATCGTGGATTCATCCCTGTCGGGGGATCCTTTTTGTAGCTAGAAAGTAGTCCCGGGGAGTATTGCGGTTCCGTAATGGGTAATTTTACGATGGAAACCGAAACTGAAATTTTGGGTGTGACACTCGATCTCACGCGAACATGTTCATCCTGTTGCAGACGTTGAGCTTGACCAAACGTATAGACGAGGTCAGGTTGCTCGAGTCACGTAAGAGCGCTCGGCTGGCTGATCAGGATACAGATTTCGCTAGGCTCGCCGATATGGCTGGTGACCGCAAACGGGCCTCTTCCCACTCCATCGACGTGCCACACGTGATCGGGTAAGTCTCTTCGCCTCTTTTTTTCGCATGCATTTTACGCTATTACGTCAATACGTATCATTAACCCGGCGACAACGTAAGCGAACGTAATATTTTAAAGTCATTTTCTTTTTTTCCCACGTACAACATGCATTTGCGTCTGCTGAATACTCATGAGCTTAGAAATTTATCGGAATCTGCTTCGTGAAAGATCACCAGACGAATCCGAAAACCCCTTCGTGCCCATTGATCGTAGATAATTTATAATTTATATTTTTATTGTAATATTAACAGTGCATTAAATAACCTCAAAGCAAAAAGAAAGAAAAGAAAAAAAAAAAAAAGAAGAAAATAATTATCGAATTAATTTATATTTTTATTGTAACATTAACAGTGCATTGAATGACTCCAAAGCAAATAAAGTTTATTTCAACGTTTAAAAAGAAGAAAATAATTATCGAATTAATTTATATTTTTATTGTAATATTAACAGTGCATTGAATGACCTCAAAGCAAATGAAGTTTATTTCAACGTTTAAAAAGAAGAAAATAATTATCGAATTAATTTATATTTTTATTGTAATATTAGCAGTGCATTGAATGACTCCAAAGCAAATAGTTTATTTCAACGTTGAAAAAGAAGAAAATAATTTTCGAAATAATTTATATTTTTATTGTAATATTAACAGTGCATTGAATCACTCCAAAGCAAATAACGTTGAAATTTTTGAAAAAAAAAAAAAATAATGTTCACGGTCTAGATGTAAGGACGAAGGGGTCAAGGTCCTGGATCCGCGATTTTATCAAAATTCGAGCGTAGTTCAAACACAGAGTGTACACCACTCAGTCCTTTTACGAAACCAAATTCGATCAAAGAAATTGACACTTGAACTATCATCATAGGTATCGTATCGTCCCGAAGAATCCGTCCCAAAACGTCCTTCAAAATCCTGCATGCAGTTACCGTTTCCACACCGCGAAAAAAATCGTTCGGAAGATCGAACACGTGAGTATACTCCCCTTGGAAAAATATTCTACTGGAAATCCAACTTCTTCCATCTTCTCAGGACAATCGACTTTTCTCTTTCATTAGATCACATTTTTTTTCGTGGAGTATGTTTTTCTTACGTCGATTTAATTATAATTGACCCTTTTGGGCACGTTGCTCTTTATCGAAAATAAGATTAAAGTAAAAAATAACAGCGTGCACGTCGGGGATCTTCTGAAACGATCTCGTAAAATTGATATACACCGACCGTCCGCGATTTCAGCATCCCTTTGAGAAATTCTTTTCACGCTCGAACCCTTCCACGCTAGATTTAGCATCGACACGTGTCTCAGACCCGGTCACACTCGCAAGAACAGTGTATCTTAATTGTTTTAACGCTAGAATTGCCGACAATTATGGTGTATTTATTTGTATCAATAGAAAACTAGAAAATGGGGTAAATTTGCAAAAATTTTCATTAGAAATTACGTTACGAATGGGTCATTTTGATCAGTTCGGTAGTTCTAGTGTTAAGTGGCTTCCCTAGTATTAAACAAAAAAAAAAAAAGTAATTGTCAATTTTGAAAAGGGAAACAATTAGATCTATTGATCGAAGCGGTGTTTAAAGGAAGATTCTTAGTATTTTGGTATAGAACGCTCGAAATCGATAGAATTCTTGAAAGATCGTGGAAGAGTCGAGGATAGCAGAGCATCGACTGCAAAAAGCGAACGCATCGTAGCGGGTTTCGTCGGTCCCGTGGTCGTTCGTGGGGGGACAGAAGTTACAAAGCCCAAAAAATCGAAGGTATCCCTCGGAGTTTGGAAAAGGTTGCACCCACACGTTGCACCGTGCGAGCGTTAAAAGGCGTCTGGTTGCCGCCGATCGTTAGACCGTGAATGTACCCTCGCCGGACACCTGTCCCTCGCCCTCACAGTCGCACGCAGCCCGTCGAAATGCTTTTCTCTCGCCCTCGTTAAACGTCGTGGAATCCGATCCAACTGTCGCGATTGAGGGCCCCCGGGGGGAGAATTTCGTGGGACCCCGAATCGATCCTGAATCGAGGAAGACACGGTGCTTTGACCCCCGAGGGCCCCGGTAGCCGCTCGTATCCCCACGCAGGTGAATCGCGACGAGCCAGACGAAAGGGAAGCACATTACACGCGCGGAACAAAAATAACAGAGAGAAACTTCTCCTGGATTTATTAAAAAATATTTTAATAGAAAGATCATAACAGCGTGAAATAAAATTTTATCAATCCCAGGACGTAGCAGTGTATAGACACTCGGCTGAATTATTATCGAGTTTACCATTTTTTAAATTCACGTTGCAATAAATTTAATCTCAGTACGGAAAAATTGAACACGATGTTGGAGATAATTTTTCGTACGAAAAGGTTGCTTGTCCTCCTGAACGGGAGGCTTAATAGGTTAACGACCCCTCGGACGTGATACAAAAATAGTCGGCGTTCGTGGGTCGAGGAACATCCTCTGCCCACATCGTCGCTGAAATCTGACGGAAACGTATCGCGGCAGCTGCGAGCAGAACGTCCCCTAACATGGAATCAGACACCCCAAAAGAGTGGCTCGCCCCCATCGGTACGACGAGAAAAAAAGAAGGGAAAAAACCGAGACTCTCGGAATAGGAAGCAAAAGAACGTTTCGACGTTGGCTCTGGCCGACGCGGAGGTCTTCAAACTCACGTTTTCCACCCACCTGCGACTCGAGATTCCAATCTTTTTGGGCAGGGTCTTCTTCTACTCTCCGTCTCTCCTTCTACGTTCCCTCTCTCTTTCTCTCTGCCTTTTCCTCCTCCCATGATCGTTTCTGCGCCGCGAGAAGGGTGGAACGGTTGTTTCATGACCGACGACCGATGCCAACGACCTCCTCTCTCGACTTTTTGGCCCCCCTTCCCCTCCCGCCGAAGTCGTGCACGACCGGAGCCTCCGAGGATCCTCTCACAAAGGACGACTGCGAAGGCTGTGGGACGAGGTGGAAGGTGGGGGGGAATCCTCCGCGACGTCCGGTGGCCGCGCCTGGGGGACGAAGTCACGCAGGTAGATGGCCTGTGTTGTCGGTGTTTTCGGTCGTGGCTGCACCTGGCCCAGGCACGACCTGCCCCACGTGAAAGGAAAGGTCACAAAAGAGAAATCGAGTGCCTTTCGAATCTCAATGGTATCGATGACGAAAGCATATGCGGCCCGGTTACCATTTAACGAGACCTTGCACCGCGGCCAAGGATATCGCGTGAAATTTATCACGGTGACTTGGGGGTCGAGATCCTCCCGATAACTGCTTGGTTCTTCCTTGTTTCTCGTCGAATTCGCATCCAAAACTTTGGGACTTTGCAACAATCTTGCGGGCCTTATAATTACATGCATTTGTGGGGTTCAGTGGACGGGATGGAAAAGGAAAGGAGAGGACGGGATATATGCAAACGGAAGGTCGGTGGAGCGCTTGCGAGAGAGGCAAGAGCGTAGCCCTCTAGTGGCGGGTACGGGAGGCGATGGCCCCCACACTAGAATTAATTTTCAATTGACTTGTTTTGTTTGGGATTTTGTGATTTTTAGCAAGTAAATATTGACTCCCCGATTGAAAACGGCTACTTTGATAATTTAAAAATCTACTATTAAATTGGCCACCCACTTCAACAAGCTAAATAAGATGGACTCGACACGACGAAGGTCCTTGTTATGCTTCCATAGTCTTGACTTGCTTTAAACAGTATCAGATGGCACTCGTTAGCCAGGCTATACACCTAGCTGATAATCTAATCGCCTGGTTTCATCCCTGCCACTACCCCCTATTAAACTTGTTGAGCTATGTCAAACGATATTATATTCTATTATATAGAATTCTCAGACGACACTAAGAATTCTTTCTTGTTCTTAAAAACGCAACGTGGCTCACTCGATGTTAGAAGACGAATATCACTGACTCATCCGTCCGTAGTCGTTCCTTGGCCATGTTTCTTTTTGCTCGAACGGGCCCCGTTTCGTTCGTTTAGTCTTTTACACGCAACCGTGCACGCGAGGAGAGGCTACGTGAGTGGCTGCACGTATACACGAAGTTTTGGGCCCTATTCAGAGACAAGATTATAAATATATAAATGCAACAATTTTTATTTTTATTTTCATTTAATTCACGAATTAATCCGTTATTTTGAATCGCTATTCGGAAAGAAAATGTGCTCATATTGGCTGTAAGCACTTTTCTCGCGTAACAAGGCTGCCAACGATCCTCTTTGGGTCGTAACTTCTCCTTGTTTTCTCCTTGATATCGTCCTCGACCATATGCGCCTAGTTTGCAACTGCTCCTCGAACGACGACGGAGGTGAGCTTCGTTTTAATTACGTTTCAGATAAAGCGGATCGTTGCTTGGTTCTTCCTCGATAGCAGCGGCTTGTCATCGTCGACCTAAAGCTTATTAAAATCATAATGGCATCGTGATATCTCAGCGTTTTCACGACGGGGCCCTTATTTTCTCGTCTCACGCCTAACAACGTTTTCGAAGATTAAACAAAAAAAGAATATTAAAAAAATCACAATTCCACACTGCTCAAAATTTTTTTGATTCCAATAGAAATTTTTAAAAATGTAGAAAAAGTTGTTGTAAAGAGGACTATTTTTTAGTCAAAATTTCGCTTCGATATCTTTCACGGTTAAAAAGTTACGCGAAAGCATCGTTAAAGTCTCGAATCCACCGAGGGGCATGGCGATGCGTGGGAACTGTTTAGTCTACCATAGTTATGGTAGACTGCGTTTAGGTTTTGTAACAGCATTTTTAGCTGCACCTACGTGGGCATAATTTATGGACGTGAAACATTCAACGGTATAAAATTTCGAATACGCGTGAATGTAATTTCGTTAAGGATCTTGGGTCAACAATGTTCTCCCAGCGATCGAACAAAATGACTTTAACGGGTACGTTTGGTGGCGTTTGGTCTTGAAAAATTCATTTGGACCGGTCTATTTTAATACGAGAGAAATAATCCATACCGCGGACGGGTCGAGGGCTGAACGGATGCGTACGAAG